GATAAAAATCACTAAATTGGGGAATGAAAATGCAATGTGTACTGTTCAATTGTGTGGGTATTTGAGAAATGACGTACAACTACTAGACCTTTAACCTTGCAAATAAATTTCAAATAGGGAAAATATTGACCAATGCTCTACTACGTACGGAGTATTTATTAGTGAGGTAGTAACTTTATAATTACAACTTTCTATGTAATTATGATCTTCTATTATTGCCATGTCGTAAAAAGGGAGATTCTATATAAAACATAAAAGTACACCAAATACCTTTCGACTTTCTTTTGGAAAATGTTTTTTCTCCAATTGGGAAATGTTATGCAATTGGGAAGTCCATTGCAGCCTCACGGGCATGAATTGTTCAGCCTCACGGGAGATTCTATATATGAATTGCAACCCATGCCAAAAATAATAACGATGTTTTCACTATGTACCCCATACTTCAATTCGTATTTGTAAATTTTCCTGTCCAAAGGAGCTCCCATATATCATATATGGAGTGTAGGAGCTAAATTAATAAAAATAAAAAATGTTCAAATAAGCCTTGATGAATTCTGTAATTGCACTTGTGAAACAAATCATTCAAGCTCTTTTTACTTAACGATGCAACCGCGTAACATAGAGCTCGATTATTTTATTTAAAGAAAAATTTGTAATTTTCTTTCTGTAATTGTCGGTGGTTTCCAATATTTAATATTCCGGAAAATATGTTGCCGGTGTCGAGTTTTTCTGCTGGAAAGTGTACTTTCCGGTAAAAAAATTCTTAAATTGCAAAGATTTATTAGTTAAATGATCAAATTCACAAGTGATTACATGCACAAGACCAATAAGGATAACTGTCGAAAGCTACTGGACTAAAATTGCAAATCACTCTTTATTTAATTGAATTAAAGATGTATAAGGTCTTTCGATACAAGATTCTTGATATAGAATAACTAATAGTTTGAGAATGAGTAATTATGCTAAATAGGACTAAATATGATAGTATATATAATTGCTTAAAAAGGAGAATGATTAATTAATTATTTCCTAAATAAGACTAAAAAATTATTTTCTACCCTCAATATTTATAATTGGCGGTGAATCCATTCAGAAAATTTTTTTGTGGGTTCCGGCGGCCAGCAGTGGCACCGGACAGGACAGTTGAAAAGGCTACAGAAGTACAATTAGTCTTATTCACGAATTTAAAATAATGTTGTCATATTTTTGAATTTAACCTTCTATGGATGTTTTCTTTTATACTGAAATTTGCAGGTCTAGTTTGATATTTAAAATAATGTTGTCATATTTTTGAATTTAACCTTCTATGGATGTTTTCTTTTATACTGAAATTTGCAGGTCTAGTTTGATATAGACTGATCTGATCTGGCATGATCTGGCCTGAACTGATCTGGTGTGATAATGTCTAGTCTCCGTGTATTTTATAACTATTGATGTCCGGTCTGGTCTGATCTAGTTAGGACTGAAAACAGTCCAAATGAAAACATCCTAAATCACTCTCTTATTGTTATCTACTGCGTACTATATATCTCCTTTCCCCTAAGATTGGCAAAGAGGTGTGATACAATTTTTAAGAAAAAATAGAACTATGTGGTTGATATTGAATAAATAGAGTGTGAATAAAGTAAGAATGAATTATAACCACATAAATATTACTCCCTCCGTCCCAAAAAGATTGACCAAATTCATTTTTCTTGGTCAATGGTGATCAACTTTGACCAACGATATCTTTTGATACAAAATTATTTAAAATATGAAAATTATGAGCTTATTCTTTATTGAAATATCTTTCACAAAAGTATAAAATTTATAAATTACACACAAATTTAATACCTGAAGTCATTGTCTAAACTTTAACACCATTGACCAAGAAAAGTCAAATTGGCCAACCTTTTTGGGACGGAGGTAGTACAATATATGATATTACCTTCGTCCCAATTTGTTTTACGAAGTCAACATTTTATGATCAACTCATGTTAAAGTTAAATATTTCCTATTGATAAATAATTTAATTTTAATATAAAAATTTACACATTCATAAACCATTAAAATCTCTATAATGTTGCAAAATACAAATTAAAATTTAATTAAGAATTGATATCTTAATTAAGTGATTAAAATGAAATTATTTGAACAATAAAATAAAATTTGCAAATCAATTTAAATGAGAAGAGGATGGGGGATTAGTATATTAAAACAATATACTCATGACTCATCACTCATCACCCAAGCCACATGCATTACTATAGTATTTATATACGTAGTATATATATAGCAGACAGAACTCAACCCGGCCTCTATCAGTCCATCCACAAAAGCTAAAGCATCTCACTATATAAAGTTGGTAGAGCTCCGCACGTATACATAGTCAGGGCAGCCTGTTTTTTTTAATACTAATAGTATAGAGCTGCCAGCCCAAGAAATAGAAGAGGGAACGAAAGAACGGAATTGAAGGAACGGAAACTTCAAGCCAGAAGTGAAACGACTAAAGGGATTTACCGCCGCACGCCAGTCCACTACCACTGTTCCCCGCCTCCACTCGTCCAGCCGTTTCACGGTTGCAACGTGCAATAGCTCGTCAAGTTTCGGCGGCAGGGATGGATTTAGGGGGGGCGCGGGGGCGACCGCCCCCCTTGGACATTCAATTTTTTTAACCATATATGTAATATTTTCATAAAACTTTTATAATTTAATTAGATTCGCCCCCCTTAGTTTTTAATTTTCATAATTAATATATATAGTCTTACATAATGTAATACTTAATTGGAGATTTAAAAGAAGAAACATCTAAAATAATTTACATAACTTAAACAAATAAACAATAGAGTAACTCGTTATTTAAGATTTAGGATTCTTATTATATAAGAATTCCTAGTTTTGTAATGTTTAATTATCTTTATTAGATAACAAGTACTGGATTTCGTAAAACATATATCAAACAATATTAAATACCAGACACACTAATTACACAATTTTTAGATCACGTGAAATGAATCCAAAATATAAATATTTATAGACATTAGATTACATAATTCATTTACTTCTAGCTTTCTAAAAATATTTTATTGCATAAATAATAAACTCTAAATTTATATAGAATTAATAAAAATATTAGAATATAATATGCACCATATATATGTGTGTGTGTATGTGGTGCATATTATTCTAAAAATAACAATCTCATACATACTAGTATACTACTATTGTAATATTAAGAAAACTTCTCATGAGTCATGACTCACGAACACCCTCCTTGGTGGACAAAAATTACAATTCAATAACCGATTCATGAGGTTAAACAATGTAGAAGTTATTAAAAATGTATTGGTTGATGTTTTTGTCATCGTCTAAACTTAGAATGTAATAGATTTAAATGTCGTTCGGGATGTGCATGCATTAATGTCATTTTTTGAATAAAAATAGCCGCATAGTCCTACAGTAGCGAAAAAAATTCGCCCCGCTATACTAGGGAAAAAAAATTCACCCCGCTACACTAACAAAAAAAATCACCCCCTACACTAACGAAAAATTTCGCCCCCCTTGACTCAGAATCCTGGATCCGTCCCTGTTCGGCGGTCCGTTTCTGGCTTTAATATCTAGCCAACACAATACAACGAATGAAGGTCAAGGTTGAAATCTCCCTGATTTTGCTTTTTTAATTTATTTTCGGTGACCGAGAGGGTGAGATGGAGAGCTTCGTCTCTGGAGAGTTGGGGCCAGAGCATAGCTCCTGGTATTTCACTTATTAGAGGTTGTCTCGTTCTCACTCTTCTTTTCTTAATTACGGAGTATCTTTTGATTTTTTCGTTTATTACGTGGAATATATACCATATTGATTTTTTAAAAAAATAAGTATGAATATTCATAGAAATTGAATGATTGAATCATATTTTAGTATTATACTATACCTTAAATTACATACTTTTTATATTAATTAATGCTGTATTTTAGGCCTCCTATTAAACTTCGAAGAGGGCCTCCAATATCTTACGATCGGCCCTGCACATAGCCGAGAAGAAGGACGCCGGAGAGAAACTTCCTTGAGAAGGATAGCCGTGGGTAGAAAGAACTATGAAGTACTCAGAAGCAGGGAGAAGGAGGCACGGTACGTCGGTACGGTTCACGTAGGTGTCCACTGCTGGACTTTGACCGGGTCAGCCAAACTGGTTGCGGGTCGGACACTTTAGCTCGGGCACGATATTATCAAGGTAAAATTGTTCCAAGTTTGAGGCCAGGTTAGTGGAAAAATTAACACTCCTTACTACGTACTACGTATATATGATTATAGTTTGTATATATAGGAGTACCTAACTAATTATCTTAAATGAAAATAAAATTACACGAATAGGAATAAATGGAAATAAAATTGTACAAATAGGACTAAAACATAACATTTTCACAAATAGAACCAGTCATTAATTTTCTATCCTCAATACCCTAAGTCTAATCAAAATCTATTGCCCCCTAGTTCCCTCGAGCAATTGGGGAAATCCGTTTGTGGCAGAGCTCCGACGAGCCTCGACGGTATACAACTAGTCAAAAATCCAATCTAGAAATTTTGGCCGGACTGCACCAACAACGGTGGTGGCTAGCGACGGCAACAAGCGGGGCAGCTGGACGGTCGTCGGCAGCCGGCACTGGTGGCTGGGTAGGGCAGTCCAAAAAGCTCAGGAGTATATTTGTCTAAACATATCTATGATTAGTTCTATTGAGGAAATTTAAAACAATGTAGTTATATTCGAAAAATGAATATAATTCAATGGTTATTAATAGCATCATGTGCAACACAGCTGAAAATCTAGTATCCTAAAAGCTATTATAATTTAAAAATGACGTGTAGTTCGTGTTCATGTATATGACAAATTTTTTAGGAAATTATAAACTATTTACTGCATCCGTAGAGACTCGTAGAGTTCTAACCTTTTTTTAAAATTAGTATAGAAGAATTGAAACTTTTGGATAACTATGAGGGATTTAAAAGCTAGCCTCAGTTATGCCAAAAGAAAATGACTAGAAATGATCCACTACATCGCCAATCCCTAAAACGGACAAATTAGTGATGAAGTTGATGTGTGTGCATATTCATAACTACGTAGAACTAGGGAGTATAGTTTGCAGATCCAATGATTGATTATAAATTTATATGTATAGTTGAAGTTTACGTTGATCACTAAGTCGTAAAGTATGATTTTTTGTATGAAAATTTTTGTGGAGATTCACCCAGAAAATAGAAAAAAATAAATCATACAATGTGACATTGAGGTTACAAATATGGAGAAATTGTGTCATGTTTCAGTTTAAGGTTGTGAGAAAAAGAAAATATGATCATTATGAAGATAAGAAGTGAGATACATACATTCTTGAGAGGATACAATAGAAGAGGATCGAAGAAATATATTACTCCCTCCGTCCCGCTAAGATTGTCTCATTTTAATTTACCTTTTCGGGAAATCCCACTACGATTGTCTCATACCAAATTTGGTAAAGTTCATGTGGCTCTAAATCATTCTTACTTTATTTTTACTTTATCAATTTAGAGCCCGTTTGGAGACCTCTTTTTTTCGGCTTATCAGGCTTATCAGCCAGCTTTTTCACCAAATACGTAACTTTTACTTTTGTGTGCTGAATTGTGTAATAAGCAGAAAAAGTAAGGTTGAAGTTACTTTTCTGGCTTTATTGGCTGAAGTTACTGCAGAGGACTATTTTAGCTATTTTACATGTAATTTTTTCTATAATTTATTAATAAATTATATTTTTAAAATATTTTTTTCTTGAATCAGCAGAATCAGCCAAAACAGCCACTTCAGCCAGAATTTCATAAATTTCAGCAGAATCAGCCAAAACAGCCGATTTTCGTGCTACCAAACGAGCTCTTAATATCAACCACAAAAACCACTTTTCTTAATAATCGTGCCACTTTCTCTTGTCCAAATCTTAGTGGGTCGGAGGTAGTACATGTCAATTAAATACGAGAAAATATACTACAACCATATATAAAATACTAACAAAACATCCTATAATGAAAATAGACTCTGCATAAGAACATAGGGTAAATGGGACAATCGCCCCTAACGTGATCATCATTTTCAAGCTCAGGACATTTGGGGCTGCTCACATCTATCACTCTATCAATTTGTTTAGCTACCCGTGCCGTGTCCAACCATGAAATCCGCTATAGCCGGCATACCCTGCACATGTAAAAACCATGATGACAGTGTCCACCACATTTTCACAATGGTCCGAGTGACGTTTCTTTGAGTGCAATAGTTTAAACATAGAGGCCTGCATATATATGTGATAAAATGTTTATAAAACTATGCAAATTCTGAGCTAATGTACTGAATAACAAATTAGAATTACAAGAAGATGAAGTATATATACTTGTGCACTCATGACTAGGCAAGAGCACATTAGCACCCATCTTCGTCCAAAAAAAGGAATGAGAACGAATCTCGCGAGAAGCGTGAACCCGAAGACACAAAAGGTTGCTACCATGGATGCTAACATGGGCTCCTAATCTCGAAAACCTAATGATTCTAAAACTAATGGTGCATAAAAAGCTAATGGTGAAAACCCTATAAGTTTGGGAATGAGATCGACCATAGCTCACTACAAATACACTAGTTCTTTTTATATCTTCCTACAATGTCACGAAAGGGCCTATCAGATTCTATTATTTCCCTATATTGAATCCTTTTAAGGAAATTAAAACAAAAACAAGAAGAAGTAGGGAACACACGGCTAGAAGTATAAAAGCCACAATCCAGTTTTTATGTGAATTATATCTTAATTTACGATAATATATAACTAAACTTAGAGGTGGGCCAAATGCATTTGCAGAGTTGCATATATTCTCAATCCGTGTGGAGAAATGTTTGAGGCCCATTTGAATATAATATATAGGTATGGCCTGCAAATTTGTATGAAATTATGTTATGTAAATATTTATGAGTATGCAATGCACACTTGTTTAACTAACCAAATTAAAATACATACTAAATAAATTAATTACCTCAAGGATCATACCATTACCGAATCCAATGAGACATAGTGCTAAAACTGCACCAACTGCCTTCGGTAAAGCCCATATCAGACCAACACCAGCTAGTATAATTATTAGGCCAAGAATGATAAGTGTTTGTGGCCTCAAAGTGGTGTGTACTTTAGTTGCAACAACCACACTACTGATGAGACAAAACGGTATAGTAACCGTAACTAAAGCCACCAGGGTGTTGATATGGGCAGAAGCACATGATTTCAACCTTTGCAGAGGTCTCAAACCACTTTTGTGATATATCATGAACAAACGTCTTCATAGTTATCAACCCCCCTAAAAAGTAATAGCATCAAGTCCAAATTGATTGAGAGTGACATATTCATAAACGAATAATCGAGTCATTAAGATAGGATATTTGAAATGGATAAGTAGATGAAATTCTAAAATAACGAGAATTTTTAAACTCTCATACAAAATTATGGGAATTAATTTTAGATATGAAAACATAATATTCGGAAGGCCCTATTTCAAACGAAATACTATCGAAAAGGCTAAGGGCATTTCCATTGAATAATAAAATTAAAACAACAAGTTGTTCGAATGTGACACTCTGAAATCTGAATAGATAATTGACATAGGAGAAAAGGAGTAGCGTGCTACAAGCTCGGAGAAAGAAGTAACATGCTTCTAGTAGAGAAGGAAGAGGAGCTGGCCGTAGGCCACAAGTGGGGCCCAGGAAAAACATAAATCCCAATTTTCTATAAAATAGTATTGTAAATTATTTATTTATACTATTGGAGTCATATGAAAGCCCTTAAAAGTTATGAATTTTGATATATATATATATATATATATATATATATATATATATATATATATATATATATATATATTTTGTAAAACATACAGTATAAATAAAAAAAATTACAATACTATTTTATAGAAAATTGGGATTTATATTTTTCCTGGGCCCCACTTATTTACGTTGCCTACGTACTCCCTTCCTTTCTCTACTAGCATCAAGCTACTTCTTTCTCCGAGCTGGTAGCACGTTGCTCCTTCTATCCACTATCAATTACCGATTCAGATTCCAGAGTGCCACATTCTGAACAACTTTTTGTTTTAATTTTATTATTCAATGGAAATGCCCCTTTCTGATAGTATTTCATTTGAAATAAGGCCTTCTGAAATTTGTCTTTTCATACCTAAAACTAACTCCTATCATTTTTCATTAGAGTTTAAAAATTCCCGTTATTTTGGGAATCCATCTATTTATGCCCTTTCAAATATCCTATCTTAATGACTCGATTATTCGTTTATGAATATGTCATTCTCAATCAATTTAGAATTAATTCTATTACTTTTTACGGGGGGCTGATAACTCTGAAGACGTTTGTTCATGTTGTATCACAAAAGTGGTTTGAGGCCTCTGCAAAGGCTGAAACCACGAACTTCACGAACTTGTGCTCGTACATCGACACCATGATGGCATTACTCACAGTTATTATACCGTTTTGTCTCATGGGTGATGTAGTAGTTGTGACTAAAGTACACACAACTTGGAGGCCACAAGTACTTATCATTCTTGGCCTAATAATTATACTAGCTGATGTTGGTCTAGTATGAGCTTTACTGAAGGCAGTTGGTGCAGTTTTGGCACTATGTCTCATTGGATTCGATAATGTTATGACCTGTGAGGTAATTTATTTAGTATGTTTTTGAATTGATTTAGTAAAAAAAGTGTGCATTTCATAGTTTTAAATATCTACCTAACATAATTTCATACAAATTTACAGGTCATGCCGATATATTATATTCAAAAGGGCCCCGAGCATTTCTTCACACTAATTGAGAATATATGCAACTCTGCAAATGTCTTTGGCCCACCTCTAAGTTTAGTTGTATATTATTGTATATGATGATATAATTCACATAAAAATTGGATTGTAGCTTTTATAGTTCTAGGTGTGTTTGTCCCACTTCTTCTTGATTTTGTTTTAATTTCCTTAGAAAGCATTCTGAAAAGAAAAATAATAGAATCTGATAGGCCCTTTTGTGACATTGTAGGAAAATATAGAAGAAGTAGTATATTTGTAGTGAGCTATGGTCTCATTCCAAAACTTAAATGGTTTCCACCATTAGCTTTTTATGCACCGTTAGTTTTAGATTCATTAGGTTTTCGAGATCAAGAGCCCATATTAGCACCCATGGTAGCAGTCTTTTGTGTCTTCGGGTTCACGCTTCTCGCAAGATTCATTCTCATTCCTTCTTTTGGATGAAGATGGCCGGGTGCTAATGTGCTCTTGCCTAATCATGATTGCACACGTATATATTCTTCATCTTCTTGTAATTCTAATTTGTTATTTAATACATTAGCTCACAATTTGCATATTTTTATTAACATTTTATCACATATATACTGCGGGCTGCTATGTTTCAACTATCGCACACAACGAAATGTCACCCGAGCCAACCTGGAAATGTGGTGACAACTGTCATCATGGTTTTGACATGTGCAGGGTATGCCGGTTGTAGCGGATTTTATGGTTGGACACGACATGGGACAGCTAAACGAATTGATAGAGTGATAGATGCGAGCAGGCCCAAATGTCCTGAGCTTGAAACTTATGATCTCGTTAGGGGCGTTTGTCCCATTTACCCTCTGTTCTTATGCAGAGTCTATTTTCATGATAGGATGTTTTGTTAGTATTTTATATATGGTTGTAGTATTTTTTTTTGTATTTTACTGGCATGTAATATATTTCTTCGATCCTCTTCTATTGTATCCTAACAAGAATGTATGTATCTCACTTCTTCTCTTCATATTGATCATATTTTCTTTTTCAATCACAACCTTAAACTGAAACATGACACATTTCTCCATATTCGTAATCTCAAGGTCACATTGTATAATTTATTTTTTCTATTTTCTGGATGAATCTCCACAAAAATTTTAATACAAAAGTCATACTTTACTAGTTACTGATCAACGTAAAGTTCAACTAAATGTATAAATTTATAATCAATCATTGGATCAGCAAACTATACTCCCTAGTTCTACGTAGGTATGAATAATATGCACAGACATCAACTTCATCACTAATTTGTAGTGGGTCATTTTCTTTTGGCATAACAGAGGCTAGCTTGAAAATCATTGCCCTTGTTGACGCTGCAATGTATCGGCGACTTGTAGGCCGTTTGTTATATCTCACTGTCACACGGCCTGATATTGTCTTCCCAGTAAATCAGCTTAGTCAGTTTCTCTCACAACCACACCAATCGCACCTGGATGCAGCACATCAAGTACTTCGATATCTCAAAGCTACTCCATGAATGGGAATTTTCCTTTCCTCGAACCCGGATCTTTCACTAGAGGGTTTCTGCGATGCTGATTGGGCCAGTTGCTCCTTCACTCGACGCTCTAGTTCTGGTTACTTCATCACCTTAGGTGGATCACCTATTTCCTGGCGTACAAAAAAAGAAACTGTGGTCTCTCGCTCATCTGCCGAGGCAGAATATCGGGGCTATGGCTGTTGTTGTTAGTGAAATAATCTGGTTGCGTTGGTTGCTTCGTGATTTTGGGGTCTTCTCTGTCACACCCACGTCGTTATTTTGTGACAATCAGGCAGCCCGTCACATTGCTACTAATCCAGTATATCATGAACGCACCAAACATGTTGAGATGGACTGTTATTTTGTTCGGGAGCGTGTTATGAGTCACGAGATTCAGCCACAACCAATCTCTACTCAACATCAAGTTGCTGACATCTTCACAAAGGCTCTTGGCAGTGAGCAATTTCAGTACCTTTGTTCCAAGCTGGGTGTTCGAGATCTACACACTCCAGCTTGAGGGGGAGTATTACGTGATATGCGTGATATGCATATATTACGTATGACTTAGTATGGCAAGTTGCTGATTACGTATATCACATGGAGTGCACCATATATTATTTTATTTCCTTGTTTGTATTACATTACTTTAACATGACTGCATGATCTTGTATAAATAGAGGTAGACGTTCAGTACAAAGAGATCAACCTTCGACATACTCATCTTCTTCCCAGAAATCATGTTTTTACATTTTACTTTTATTTTAACAAAGAGGTCATGTTAAATGTCCCACACCGGACATCTTTGGAATGATTAAACACTATATTAAGATCCGGGCTACTCTTCCTATCAGGTTGACCTTTTAGGATGGAACTCCGGGTCTTAACATGGTATCAGAGCCAAATCGATCCATGGTGTGGGAGCCCCTTATGAATCGTGATGACACGATTATAAAAAAATGACAATTACGGTCGCATGAAAAAAACGGACCGATGAAAAAAAATATGAATGATGACACGATCTAGACGAAGTGTCTGGTCGTGAGGAGAGGTGTTAAATGTCCCACACCGGACATCTTTGGAATGATTAAACACTATATTAAGATCCGGGCTACTCCTCCTATCAGGTTGACCTTTTAGGATGGAACTCCGGGTCTTAACAGTTATCCTAAAATTCCAATTCGTCTATACTAATTTTAAATAAAGTTCAGAACTCTACGAGTCTACGGATGCAGTAAATAGTTTTATAATTTTCTAAAAAAGTTTTCATTTACATGAACCCAAAGTACACATCATTTATAATAGATTTTAGGATACTAGATTTTCACCCGTGCGTTGCACGAGATGCTATTAATAACCATTGAATTATTTGAAAGATATAGAAATATTATGGTAAAGATAAAATAACATATACTCCGTAAAATGTTTTTTACTAAAGTAAACGGAGATAAACAAACTACAAATTATACATCTCCTTGTAGACAACATGTAAACCCTTTTGACCGGTCTTCCATCAACATCACATATAACAAACTTCAATCCATTACTCGTGAGACCATTATGTACATCTACGAATTGGTGAAAAGTTACATGACATATGAAAACAAAATCCATTCTAGAAACGGTCTCTGACTCTTTTTTACGGTTATCCCTAACTAAGCATGAGGTAGTCACAATGTAGACTGTTTCCATTATGTGCGTTTTTCTACAATTACATCAATCCTTATGGGCAAGCAAAATACTAATCCAAATGTCATGATGGTTTATCGTATTGAGTATATGACAATTAATATCAAGTGAATAGAGCTTGTTTATGACCAAATAATAGACATAAAAGCCACAAAATTTTATACACAGTATTTTAAGTAAAATCAAAATTATTCTTTTTTATTTGAATATCAATCAACAAACACTACCTCATGTTTACTAATAACCAGTAAAATATATCTATCATAAAAGCTATGCATTCCCAAATATTAAAATGAAAATTTCACAGCTAAAAAAAAAAAAAGTAAAGCGGTGGCCACTTTTTTTCTATCCTTTTTTATAGGCATGGCCTCGGTTCGGGCCGCCCGGCCCGGGACCGGCCCGACCCGCTACTGTGCGGGCCCGGCCCGGTTATCCGGGTCCGGGTCCGGTTCGGGTCGGAGGCCCGGGGGTGGGGCGGTTCCGGGCTCGGTTCATGGTTTTGACGGCCCGGCCCGGCCGGTTCGGGCCCGGGTCCGGGCCAAATCTATTTTTTTTTAATTTTTTTCATTTGTTTTGGGCTGTTGGGCTTGGGCTATCTGTTTAGGCCGGTTTGGGGGGGTTTGGGGGGGTGGGGGGTGGGGGGGGTGGGGGAAGAAAGGAAAAAAAAAAAATTAAACCGGGTGGCCCGACCGGCCCGGCCCGGCCCGGAACCGGACCCGGAACCGGTGGCCACCGGTTCGGGCTCGGGCCCAACAAAACAGACCCGAGGCCCGGCCGGGCCTAGGCCCGAACCGGCCCGGGTCCATCCATACTTTTTTAGGAATAATATTAGTGGAATGTTTCCCTTAAAAAATGCTTTTAAATACGTAAGCAGTACCCTACTATATATCGCAACAAAGACTTCACACTTTGATTGCACTAAGGCCTATAAAGGAACCTTTTTATATTATTACATGAACATTAAAGGATAGAAGAAAATTTTAAAAGTATAGTGAACCTATCTGATAGAGTATATAAATTTGGACCCTAAGTCTTATCACTATTGAATCTGGATAGCGATCCACACACGTTTATCAGGTAGCATTTACATTATTGTACATTATTTGTATTTACTAGATTAGCTTTATATAGTTGAGCCTTTCTGACCCATATTAGAAGCCTGACCGACCCATTATTTCTCTATTTATATTCCCAAACGGAGATGTTGTAAACCTAACTCTTAATACATAAGATCTACACAATATTACTATTCATCATCTTAATCCTCTCTTATTAGCTTAAAAAACTCTCCTAATTATATATGTTTGGATTCTTATAATCCATCCAAAAGTTTCAAAAATTCATCCAACAACATAAAAAATTCATCCAAAATACAAAGAAATCGGACAAAATCAGTCTGAAAATCCAAAAAAGATGAGCCGAAGAAGTCTGGAATTTCTGATGTTTCACAGATCTAGGCCGAAGCCACCTTCACCGTTCATGGGAACCGTCATCAGCTAGAGGTCACGCTCTCTGCCGCCGCTCTATGCTTACATGTTGCACTCCAGATGGTGGCCATCGCCGCCAGCAAACCTGAAGCTATGGCTTCCATCAGCCATGGCACGCAGCTCTTCTCTCCGTCGAAAGGTTGCCGGTCGCCCTTTGAAGCTTGTTCTCCACCTCTGCGCCAGCGCCGTCGGACAGAGCCCCCTCGAACCCCTGCTGACTCGACTTCAAGGTCTCCGCCATTAAGGGCTGCCAGGAACCCCTGCTGACTCGACTTCAAAAGTGTATCGGTCGTCACCTGAGGATGCTTCGCCGCCGCTGCCGGAGTCCTAGCGAGCTTGCTCCGGTCGTCTTCTCTACGCCGCGGGGTCCGCCTGAATGATGTGCCAGACTCCGCCGGAAGAAGCTTCCCCGCTGCTACTGCCTGAGAGGACCTCGCCGTCTTCATTCTCGGTCATTCCCCGCTGCTACTGCTCCAATGGATGGACTACGGAACCGGTGTGCTGCTCCTGCTTGCCTGCTTAGGATCTTGGCCGCATATGGATCAATAGCTAGGTCAAATTGGGGGAGGAGCTACCCAACGAGGAATAAAGGCCCACACAGCCCATTATTCTGGCCCAATTTCAACATCACAGTCCATTATTCTAGTCCAAATAAGAGCTAAGTACCCAATACTCCTATTTATACAAATAAATTGTTACTAGATTATTAATCTATTATTATTGTTATTATTTTGCCATCACCGTTATGACGGGTTAAATTCTCCCGAGGTGGTGAAGATCATTGCGACGGGATGATATCCCCTAGATTAATAATAATAATGCATTGTTTCGATAACATTATTGTCATTATCATCGCCATTATTAGCGGATTAAATTCTCTCAGGGGCACAAGCCGAGCACTAATCTACCGAGCGTCTTTATTTGATGATTCAATTCTAAGCGGGCCCCTCGAATTACCCCCGACCACCTTTATTTGGCCACCGGGGTGCAAACTGGCGCAAGAAAAGAGCTGGGAAACCTAACACGAGGTCAGGGTAAATGTCCCCTCGTCACAATAACAACGGTCGAGGTGTGGGAATTAACCTCTCGTTCCAATCAATAAGAGGCCAGGGCAAAAGCCCCCTCGTCATAAACCACGGGCAAGGCGCGGAAATGATCCCCTCGCACCGGAGGAGACCATTTAAAAACGAGGTCAGCGCAAAAGCCCCCTCGTCATAGACCACGGGCGAGGCGCGGAAATGATCCCCTCGCACCGGCGGAGACCACTTAAAAACGGGGCCAGGGCAAAAGCCCCCTCGTCATAAATCCGCGGGACGAGTCGCGGCAAATGACCCCTCGTCTAACGCACGGATCCTTATATCACGATCAACCTTTCGACACATCGTGATCACAAGACCGGTCGTAGCCTTTCCTTTATTTGTTGGCAACCGTTGCTCGGATTTTCGGACCGGCACTTCGGTGCTGATGCCCTTATATCACGACCGGCCTTTCGGCACGCCGTGATCACAAGACCGGTATTAGCCATTCCTTTATTGGATGGTGACCGTTGCTCGGATCTTTGGACCGTCACTTCGGTGTCGATGTCCTAATATCACGATCGGCCTTTCGGCACGACGTGATTATCTTTCTCAAGACCGGTCTTAGTCATTCCTTTATCGGGTGGCGACCGTTGCATGGATTTCCGGCCCGGCCCATCAGTGCCGACTTCCCTACATCACGATCAGCCTTTCGGCACGTCGTGATTATCTATATCAAGACCGGCCTCATCCCCCTACTTCATGGTTGAGGACCATTGCGCGGACTTTCGGACCGGCTCATCATTGCCGACGTCCTCCCATCACGACCGGCCCCTCGGCTACGGCATGATTCTTATCTCGAGACCGGCTCTCCAACGCCGAGTGTCTCCTTATAGCGGTTGGGCTTGCTATTCCCCTCCGAGATAACAACCGTCACCATTATATGACGACCAGCCTCATCATGGTCTCGTCATCTTATCTCGGACCGGCTCCCCAGCGCTGAGTGTCTCGTTATAGCGACATGGCTCGCCATCTCTTCCTTGATGGTGACCGTCGCCTTGATATGACGACCGGCTCATCATCGCCTCGTCATCTTATTTTGGACTAGCTCCCCATCATCGCCATCCGCACATCACGATCGTCCCCTCGGCTGCGACGCGATTATTTATCATCAAGACCAACTCCCAGCGCCGATGTCTCGACCTGGCAACCGGGCTCGCCATCCCTTCCCGAATGGTGACCGTCGTATTTATATGACGGTTGGCTTATCATCGCCCCGTTATCATATCTCGGACTAGCTCCTCATCGCTGTCCTCATACCACGATCGGCCTTTTTGCTAACTGGGCACTCTGCGCATCTAATTTCTAGTTCATCAAGGCCTGTTCAGCCCCCACCTTCGTCAATCGATCGGTGGACCAATTGATGAGAACAAAAAAATAATAATTAACGGAAGAAACCTTTGCCCAAAGCCACCAGGCTGAAATACAATATTATTAACTGATAAAACCAGAGTGAACCCTAATCAGGGCTTTAAGTACCCTTCTATTAATTCCAAATAGGAAACAAAATAATAGAAATCCTAATTACCTTCAAATAGGAAACAAAACAATAGAAATCCTAATTAAATCCAAACAGGAAACAAATAAAGAAAATTTAAAAAGAAGATAAAATTAATCCAAACAGGGGTCTCAGCCTCTCTTCTTCCGGGTCCCGCCACTGCTCCCTACCAGAATTGTTATTTCCCACTTTTTATATACTAAAAAAGTAACGTGTCAATGCAAAACAAAAGCACAAGGACTTTAGTTTGTGAAATAATTTGTATCTACTATAAATCAAAAAATAAGAACTCAAAATACAATTAGAGTGATTTATTTATGGTATATACATTAAAAGTTGAAGCTATATTCTCATGGGTCATCTGGAAACAATCTCTATGTACGTTAGTACATGGGTAAGACTGCGTACATCGGACCTCCCCTTACCCCACTATAGGTGGGAGCCTTTGCGGCTTTGGGATAATGATGATGATTGATGATGACATTAAAAGTCGAAGTTATATTCTTATCCTTTAAAAAATTGTTGTTTATCATTTGCAAAAACTGTATATATATATATATATATATATATATATATATATATATATATATATATATATATATATATATATACTTCCTACGTATTGAAATGTTTGCTATACTTTACTTTTTGAAATGTATTTTAATTTCTGTTACACTTTTCCTTTAAAAATACTCCATTATCCTTATTTTTTCTGCTTTTTATCCTCTTTCATACTATTATACCATCTCTCCTACTTTTTCTTTACCATTCATTAACCCGTAGTTCTTTTCCCTTAAATATTGTGTCACATCCTATTGTAGCAAACATTTCAATACAGAGGGAGTATTAAAGGTCCGGTGCTACACATTTACACAGAATTAAACAAATATCACCTACATTAGATGTTCTTACATATTTGCCAAATAAAAAACTATCTGCTGAAGCCTTATGACCAAGTATGATCGGAATGTGAAGCGTAAATGGTGATTCCCATCCTATACACCTCCCTCCTAGCTAAAGCTTGCTATAACATGCAGATGATACACAACCAAAAGAACCCTCTATTTTTCACACTTTGCCACTTTAAGTACTTTACCAGCCACACATAAGTTCTTCAAAAAAAGTATCTATAATTTTTATAAAACTGATCAACAAGTGTGTATATACAACGAATACCAGATTTAATCTGAAGAATGAATTAGAACATTTGTTGCGCGCCCCTCTAATAGCTTCCCTGCTCGCAAGGTCTGAGTATCAAATCCATTTGAACACCTTATTTGTCTTTTTTTGAATTTTAAGACCAAAACAGTGGCAAAACTACGTTCAAATGCTACACGCTACTTTTTAGTGTTTTATTTTAGGAAGAACTTTTTAGTGTTCAGTTAGCAGGTTTTTTTGTTTACCAAAGCAATGCAGTGACTACTTTTTAGTTAGGAAATTTTGTGTTTCTTTATTTGCTCCCACCAAACTTATTCATTAACTAATTTTGTATATGGTTGGGATTAGGATTACAAATCCTACTAATTGTTAAACAATTATTATTATGAATAATGACATTTGTGTTAGCTAGATTCATAGTCAATGGTGTCAAATTACATAGTACTCTCTCCGTCCCATTTTGGTTGTCCTACTTTTCTTTTTGGGTTGTCCCAAAATGAATGTCTTGTTTCTTTTTTTGACAAGAAATATGTGGTGTTTATCATTTCATTTTATTTTACTCAAATCTCAACCACAACTTTTACTTTTTAACCACTTTATTAATAATCGTGCCAAATTGAAAGTGGACAACCAATATGGGACGGAGGTAGTATTTTATAAATGTTTTTATAACCAGCAAATACAATAATTGATTAATATGAATATTATCTTAGAAATAATACTCTATAATTTTTCACATACGAGGCATGTATGTCACATGATATTGAATATATTTACTTTTCTCTTGTAAATTATAAAATTAGTTATACTTCTTCATCAAAGTGACTTCTTTTTAGTTAGGAGATTTTGTGTTTCTTTATTTGCTCCCACCAAACTTATTAATTAACTAATTTTGTATATGGTTGGGATTAGGATTACAAATCCTACTTATTATTAAACAATTATTATTATGAAGGGAAAATGTACATATATACCCCTGTAATATAGGTGGAGGAACAAATATATCCTTGTCTATTTTTCGGAACAAATATACCCCTGAACTTTTAAAAAGGTGCAAAAATATCTCTCATTCTTTATAAAGGAGCAAATTAATCCTTATTGACTTTAAATTAATAAAATAAATTTCAAAGAAGACCAAAAATAAATTTGTAAATCGAAATTAAAAAATAAAATAGAAAATAAAAATGTACTTGTTTCCCTTTGGATGCATTTAAAAGTTTGCTACACTTTCCTTTTGGATGTATTTTAAAGTTTGCTATACTTTCTATTTTTGGTAAGTTTTTCCCTTAAAAATACTCAATTACTCTTACTTTTCCTACTTTTGATATTCTCTTTCATATTTTTACACCTTCTCTTCTACTTTCTCTACAGTATTAATTACCCTTACTATTTCACCCTTTGTTGTGCCCAGCCCTATTGTAGACAACTTTAAAATACGGAGTGAGTATAGTACTAGTAAACTAATTGTTATCAACTTTTATTTTTCAGTCTTTTTCTAATGGTGCATGAGCCGATAATTTCAAACTCGGTCAGCACCATGTTGATTTCGCATTAGACTCATATATTCATATCTATACAAATGTAAAAGCCGTTTCGAATATCTTTAATTGGATTTGTTTCAGTCAAAGGCAAGACCAAACATATACTCCGTATAAAATAGACCAGACCAGTTCGAAGTTTAACGAATTAGGTCAAATCAGCTCCAATTTAGACAATAGTAAAATACACATCTACAGATGTTACCCAAGTCATGCTTAAATAGACCATACCAAAATAAAAATCAAAATTTTAAATATGCAACATTATTATCACGTGGAATACATGGTATCATTTTTTATTTTGATATATTCTAGTTTATTATTTTGAAAATCCAAACAAAAATTGAAGAGTTATCCGAGTAACATTTTATAAAGGCCTTTTTATTCCAATATTACCAAAATGAATGAAAAAGATAAAAAAGTGACATGTTTTAAATTTTTCTAAAAATGTGACTAAAAGTCATTTATTCCATATATTTAATCATATATTTATTTTATAATATTCCTTTTATACATTTGTAGCCACTAGCACCTCCGGACCACTGACCCCAGCACCACCACTGCCGCTGCCGCCGGCACCGCTGCCGCAGCAGCACCGCCGCCGCCGGCAGTCACTATCTCAGTGACTCCGGCCAAAGTGACTCCGGCCACAGTGACTGCCGCCACAGTGACTGCCGCCATAGTGACTCCGACGCCACAGTGACTCCGACGCCAGTCCAGTGACAGCCATAATTCCGTCCAGTGACTGCCGCCTCCCCTCGTCAGTAACCTCTGCCCGTCACAGTGACCCACCTCCCACCGGCCATATGGCCGCCGAAAAGTTTTCTAACGTCGCCCTCTCTCATCCCCAGCCACCGCCGCTCCACCGTCCACTGCCGCTGCCCATTCTCCGTCCACAACCGCCACCCCGTCCCCAGCCCCCTCCCCTGCCTTAGCTATACACTCCAGATCCCAACCCAACCCCTAGTCCCCTATCCTTTCCCAGCCCCACCTTGAACAGTCAAGCTCAACCTTGACCACCTGCAATTGAACCCTAGCCACCACCATCCCCCAGATCTGGCCGTTACTGTTCGTCATCTTAGATCTGACCATCCATCAGAGGCGAGGCGGACGAAGGCGGCCTGTGAGGCGAGGTGAGGTGAGGCAGCCTGTTCGAAGAGGCTGAGGCGAGGCTGAGGTGGAGGGCGCCTGTGTGGAGAGTGTGAGGCGCGACAAGGCTGAGGCGGAGGCGGCCTGTGCGGAGGTTCTGAGGCGCGGCGAGGCTGAGACGGAGGCGTCTTGTGCGGCGAGGTTGAGGCGAGTTGGAGGTGAGAATGGCCATTTGTTGCGTGCGATTTGAAGCGCAGGGGAGGGGGAGAAGAAAAGGCAGATTGCGTAGGGGAGGGGAGGAGACACGCGAGGAGGCTGAGTCACATTTTTAGAAAAGGGGAAAAGGGTCATACTTTTGTAATTTGAAAAGTCAAATGTCATATACGGGCAATTATTTCTTTTATAAATTATACGGAGTAGTTACATCATGGTAGGGACCCCACGTCTCAGTTTTCTGGGTTGCTCTTAGCCAAAATCCTGTTAAAACTTCTCACTAACAGCATAAAGTTTCAAAATGAAGAAATGACTTGCAAGGGTATTCCTTTTAGATTTTAATCATACATGAATACGTCGTCATTGCTTTCATGTTGAATTTCTATGCATGCATATAGTTTGATTGTTTTTTTTTATGAAACTAAACCCCTTCTGGAATGTAGTACTAAACTTCTGCTCATGCTTTGCAGAGAACTTGTATGTTTTTGAATGAGAGTTGATAAACTTAACACTGCATTATATTGATAAACATTGTATTTACACACATAAGCAACTAAAAAGCGTTACATGAATGCTGTATTCCGAAAAATTTGTCTTTAAGTTCTAAACTGGTAAAGATATATCCAAAATAATGACTTGAAAGGGAGAAACCGACAAATGTGGTCCTGTACTCTGGATCATCTCTCGTAGTTTCATTAGTATTGGTTTAATTTCTTGTTTTTTAAAATTACTGTGGTTTACCAAAAGATGTAGAAAAGGAAGAAGGTTAGACTAGTAATGGTATATTAGATGTCGAAAAATGAAGAAGGTTGTTGAAATACAAACTAGAACAATATTTAAAAGAGTAGTATTTTCTATTTTATTCATTGAAGGGTCAAGTCCCTATAAACATAGATCACAAAGTTAGAATATTCCTATAAAGATGCTATACAATAATATGCTAGAGTATGTTCCTACTTCATAAAATATTTTAAAGGGAAATTTACCCAAATAAGACTAAATAACAATAAAATTGCAAAAATAGGAGTCCCAATTAAACATGTGTCGCGTAGGACTAAAAAGAAACCAAACTTCCAAAAATAACCTCCAGCCACGCAAAGAGAATCGAAGCTACCGTTCCCACTTTCCACTTAGAAACTGACACGGAACTCGAGCGCGCCGAAAATTGGTTTCCAAAGCATCGAGGTATTCAAAATTAAACAAAGAGATATAAATGCAAAGAGCAATCTACTAGCTCGCGAAAAACTCTTCCGACGACGAAGTGGAACTAGAGCATAGACAACGTTCTGTTCGAAGGTTGAACGAAAATGGAAGCCTCTGATTTCCAAAATGACGACGAAAAGGAGGACTCTGATTTCGAATTGGACACGCGGAGTTCACTAGAGATCAGAATCAATTCCAAAACGGTATGTATGAGTAGAAGATTTAATATTCGTAAAAGCATTTGAATGCCATATATATTCCATGATATCTCCTTGTTTCATTTAATCGGATTGACATTCAGTGTATTATATATGGATTTCATAAAATGCAAGTTCACTAATCATTCATGAATACAAATGCTAGATATCCGAATTTGTCATATAGATTTATTAGGTTAATGTTATATTGATAAGTGAATTCCACTTTACTGGATTATATGATGGAATGCGAATGCCATAAGTAAATGTGTTTGGAAGATAGATTTTGTTAGGTTGATGTCAGATAGAGAAATATGGAATCTGATGTGAGCATTGTGTAGTGAATCATGACATTTGAGATTGTGCAAGTGATGTGTACATGGCATATTGGTGTGATACTTTTTTTTTTGCATAAAATGTACTTGGATTAGAAGTGAATGCCACTTGTCTGGATTATATGATGGAATGCGAATGCCATAAGTAAATGTGTTAGGAAGATAGATTTTGTTAGGTTGATGTTAGATAGAGAAGTATGAAATCTGATGTGAGCATTGTGTAGTGAATCATGACATTTGAGATTGTGCAAGTGATGTGTACATGGCATATTGGTGTGCTATTTTTGATTTTATTTTGCATAAAACATACTTGGATTATAAGTGAATGCCACTTTCCTGGATTATATGATGGAATGCGAATGCCATAAGTAAATGTGTTTGGAAGATAGATTTTGTTAGGTTGATGTTAGATAGAGAAGTATGGAATCTGATGTGAGCATTGTGTAGTGAATCATGACATTTGAGATTGTCAAGTGATGTGTACATGGCATATTGGTGTGATACTTTTTTTTTTTTTGCATAAAATGTACTTGGATTATAAGTGAATGCCACTTGTCTGGATTATATGATGGAATGCGAATGCCATAAGTAAATGTGTTTGGAAGATAGATTTTGTTAGGTTGATGTTAGATAGAGAAGTATGGAATCTAATGTGAGCATTGTGCAGTGAATCATGACATTTGAGATTGTGCAAGTGATGTGTACATGGCATATTGGTGTGCTATTTTTTTATTTTTTTGCATACAATGTACTTGGATTATAAGTGAATGCAACTTGCATGGATTATATATATGATAGAATACAAATGCCATAGGTAAATGTATTTGAAAGATAGATTTTGTTAGCTTGCTGTTAGATAGAGAAGTCAAGAATCTGATGTGAACATTTTGTTGTCAATTTGGAAGTTATATGAAAGCCAGTAGGATGCTATGGAACATTTGTATTTTTTTAAGTAAAAAAATGACATATTGATGGCATTCTATAGTACTTTTTAAGTTTTTTTTTTAGTTTTCACAACTCTGTATTAATGATAAATTAATAGACAATGACAAGGTACTTCAAGAGGAATATGCTGGCTAAACTGGATGACATGCGTGTCAATTCATTCTGCAACCTTCTTAAAGTCATGGAAAGAGTAAGGCAAATTTTAAACCAAGAGGAAATAGCTGATTTCAGAACAACTGTGTTTGGGTGGCTGATTGATTTTGATAATATCAGTTACGTTAGTGGACAATTGCAGCTTGCCTTTGTAGCTAACTATGTCAGATATGTCAATGGGTTGGTTGACCAGAACGCAATGCGATTTCATATAAAGAAAAGTGTAGTAAGCTTCACAAAACAGGATCTAGCAATAGTTACTGGTCTGAAATTGAGTGGGGTGAAGCCAGTTATGTCAGAAAAACCAACTGGAGATATCTGGACACGATATCTTGGAGGAAAGACATTAGTGACAAGAAATGATATTCTAAAGGTGCTAAATAAATACAAAAGCACTAATGAAGGGACAATGAGGTATGATGGTGTCAAGTTAGCACTCCTGTATGTGCTTTCACATGGGTTCTTAGGAAATCAAACAGCTAGGCCAATGGAAGCTTACTACTTGAATCTGGTTGATAATTTGGAGGACTTTAAAGCTTACCCATGGGGAGAGGTTGTGTGGAATGAGTTGCGAAGTTATATGAAACAAAGCTGTGAAGCATTGGAAAACTGCACAGGTACAAGAGTTACATTCCCTGGGTGCATGATTGCATTACAAGTGTGGGCATTTGAAACCTTTCCAAGTCTGTCAAAAGCCGGTTTATGCAAAGTAATAGAAGGAAGAGAAGATATAATGCCAAGGACACTTAAGTGGGCGTTCCATAAGAAACCATCATTGGAAGTTTTTTGTGAGCTTATCTTCTACAATGAGAAGGTATGTCAATTTACGGTATATAATTATTAAATTTTATTTGAAAATACATATCTTATTAACCACTTTTTTGGCAGTTTGAATGGACAGAAATTGTTCCAATGGAGCAGGAGCTTGCACTGATCCAAGAAGCAAACATAGGAGATGGACAGAATTTGCGTAATGATAACATATATGGTGGTAGAGTGGAGACTGAGGAAGGTGTGCAAAGAAAGAATGGAAATGGTGTTCCAAAGGCACAAAAAACAGTACAAAGAGGACGAAAAAAGAAGCCGAAAAGGCTAACAAAAACAGTGGAAAGTGGGAGAGGAAATAAAGAAATTGCTGAGCAAGGAACTTCTAAAAAAAGAAAGAAAGGTGCAAAAGAAAAGGACAGTGATGAAGATAGTGATTATAAGGGAGAGGAAACTGAGGACAACATGGATGACAGTGATGTTGAAGCAGGAGGGAATAAAATGATCAGAGCAATGAGGAAGCAAATGTCAAGAACTGCAAAAGTAATGAACGATGTGAAAGAAATGAAGAAAGTTCAGAAGAAGCAAGCAGTGATGTTAGCTAAAATCTTTCGGATTGTGAATGATCTGTCAGCATATGTAGTGAATAAGCAAGAAGGAGGAATGCCAAGACACGTGGAGAATGTGGTAGAAGAAGAAAATATACCACAAAAAGATGAGAGGGAGGAGGAATGCCAGAAAGATGAGGGAAATGACAAAAGCACAGAAAACATTGAGAAGGAGAAGAAGACTGAAAATAGCGAAGATGAAAAGAGTGAGACAGAAAAAATGAATGCAAGTGAGGAGCTAAATGCAGGGGGGAATGTTGATGAGATAGGGAGCGACATGCCTAATTTTAACATATTTGGATTTGAATCTCAAAAAGAAAGTGAAGAAGGAAATCAAGAAAAGCTGAGGCCTGAAAATGATATAGAAGATGACACTGAGATGGAAGAGCATGGAGAAGAAAATGAAACAGAAGACTGCAAAAAGGAAGAAGAGAAGATAGGAGAAAAAGAACAAGAGGCAAGCACTGAGGTAGAAGAGCAGAGGGAAGAAATCCAGACAGAAGTCAACAATCAGGAAGGACAAAAAGGAGTAGTGAATGATGAGAAGCAAATGACAAATGATGCAACAAGCTATGATATGTGGGGAATGGGATCCCAAGAAAATTCACAGTTTGTGAAAGAGCTGTGCAACAGTGTGGATCTAATTGAAAAAGAGGCATTACTGAGAAAGTCTGAAGGAAAACCCCCTACAAACATTCCTACTGTGGTAAAATACTAATTATTTTTTAAATATTAAAATTTATTCATTTAAATGTATAATAACTTGTCCAAATTTAACAGTTGAGGGAAAAGAGAATTGCTAAATCACCCACAAGGTACACACCGGCAGGACAAACCGCGGATGCTAAAAGGAGAAGGAAGGAAAAGGCAAAGAAAAGAACACACGAAGAATTTTTGCCGCCTTCAAGAAAAATTTATGGCCCATTCTCTGAAGACCCCACTGACACACCACCTGCAGATCAAATGCAGCGACTGGCAAACTTTTTAAGCATTGGAATGCTAAAATATAGAAAGAAGGCTGAAAAAGACAGAAGATACAGGGCTGATGAAGAAAATATGCATGGCATTCCGATGTTGCTGGATATAATGAAAATTGAGTCAAAAACTTGGCTATACAACCTGTATTCCAATGAGCAGTGGCTAAATGACCAGGTATAAGTGCATTTCAATTTGTAGTAACACATAGAATGCCAGATATATAACTACCAGAATGCCAAAAGGAACATAATTGACAGAAACATAAATAACTTAATCTAAGATGAGAAAAAATTATTGGTGGATTCATAGAAATGGTTAACCTAAAGACATAAGTTCTAAGTAAACGAAATTATTTAAATATTTGATGTCCTTATAGTTACTAAGTACTTGCAACCTAGAGAAAAATAATACCAAAATTTGGAGAAAATGTCATTTTTATTATGTTTGATGTTAATAAGTGTATGCATGTATATAAATATGAATAATATTCTGATTTATGGATATTGAATTATATTATACAGCATATGGAAGTAGGAATGTACTATTTGAGTGTCAAAAGGCTTCAATACAAACTCAAACAACAGTATGCCACAAACAGAGCGTTCTTTATACAAATACTAAGGCGTGAACATGAGAAAATTCTGAAGGGTCAAGGAACTGTTCACGAAGCTGCAGATGATGATGAGATTATGCACAGTGTGCAAGGAAGTACATCAAAGTTTGCCCTACACTGGTGTGATTGCCAATTTGTGTACTTCCCTTTAAACACTGGTCAACATTGGGTGTTACTTGTGCTGGACATCAAGAACAGAAAGGTTAGAGTTTACAACTCTAGTTCTCGAAGGGGAGATTCACTGAAAGATATCCGACCATTCATCCCATGCATCAAAGTCTTGCTTCCTAAAATAATGGACTACTACAATGTGCATGCTAATTCTGGAGAGGAGCCAATGGGAGGGAAAGAATTACAAATAGAAGCTGTAGAAAGCTGCCCACAACAGACTAACGCGTAAGAAATGCAAATTAAAATATGTTTTGTGCAATATTAAATGGGTGATTATTCAATGTGTGATTAAATATAGAATTCTATTTGCTTACAGGGGGGACTGTGGAATGTTTGTACTCAAGATTGCTGAATTCCTAATCATGGATATGGAGCTTGATGGAATAGATGCTGATGAAATGCCAATGTTTAGGCAAAAAATGGCGACAGAGCTTGTTATGTATAGTGAAAAGAGAATGAGTGAGGCTAAAGGAGTGCAGATGCCAAAGTTTATAAGGGAATAATGATACAATGACAAGATGTGTTTCTGCATATGTTGCAAGACATGTGTCATTCAGACAATGTGTGGTTTTATGTCATAATGTTCGTTTTTTTGTGAAGTCAATTTGGAACTATGTGTAATATGCTTAAACTTTGATTCATGTGACTGTTTTGTGTTGGATAATTCAGATTAAATGTGATTGTGTTTTCTATTTCAATAGAATGATAAGTGTTCTTTGATAATAAGATATATGCAGGGAAATAGGGGAAAATATGGCATTACAAACTACGAAATGCCATTTTATATATTAGAGTTTGGCAAACTTATGTATACTTCAGTTACATTTGTAGACGTAATGTATATATCTGTTTCCTATCCCAATTCAATGATAAAGGCTCTTTTATTAAAATAAGTGTGCATTGAAAGAGGTCAAAAGATGACATTACATACAACTAAATGCCATTTTATATATTACGATTTTGCTAAATGGTGTTGAATGTGTGAAACAAATAGTTTTATCATTTTAAAGTACTAATTTGATATATTCATGCCTTTTACTTAATGACATAAGTAGGATAGCTAAGTGAATAGTTTGCATCAGTAGAAAAGATGATGTAAATAGAATATATAATAACAAACTAGAATTAAGATGAGGGAGAATAACAATATAAATAAAATATTAATCTGGATTAACTTTATACAAATATTAAAGGAATATAGAATTTAAAAAGCTACATATACATTCTGATGATGTATAACCAAAGTTGAGTAAGAACTAGGAAAAGTGTAAATGCAAAGCAAATGGCATAAATGTGCTACATAACAAAAAATGAATGTATAGAAAGCGAATGATATACATCATCAAAAAAACGTGCAAGAACAAAGATGTATAGAAAACAAATGACATATCACTTCGCTTTAAAAAGCAGAATAGTGTTCAATACTAAACAGTGTAGAGTACAACTTATTAAGTGTAAAAAAATTACAGGATGTATCTTGTCCAAAGCTGGGAAAACAAGTGTAAAACTATCAATTCTTGGCCATCGGAATAGCATTAGAGCAAGTCTTCTTATTATGGCCAACAACATTGCAACGAGAACACTTTCGGTGCTTTGAACCACGATATTCTCCTATTGATGGAATTCTTGACTTTTTAGGACGCCCAGGTGGACGCTTCAAACAGCTAGGAGGCTTGCAACGAACACTTGAAATATGAGAAGGAATGACCCAATCTTCAGAATCACCAATAGGGTGCATTATACCACTCCAAGTTGCCAACAACATATCACGTGTGTAATAAGGAGATATATAATTGTAACATGATAAGCCCGGACGAGAACCAATTGCAGCAACAGCATGCACACAAACAAAATGGTCCAATTGAAATTGCCCACAGCTACAACTTTTGGAATTAAGATTCACAACAAAGCATCTACACTTTCTATCAATAACCTCAAACTCGTACGCACAAGATGGCTTCACCTAAAAAAAATAAAAACTTTTATAAAAAACCAGATAAAAAAATGGAGTTACAAACAAAGAGATAAGAGGATATGTAGTAGGAGTACAGACGTGGCATTTGGTATTCAAAGATGGAAATCCAAAGCGTAAAATGCCAAAAACAGTGCATGGCAGAATACTATACTAAAACAGATAAAAAAATATGGAATTACAAACAAAGAGATAAGAAGATATGTAGCGGGAGTAAAATAGTGGCAAATGATTTTCATAGATGGAAATCCAAAACGCAAAATGCCAAAAAACGTGCCTGGCAGAATACTATACTAAACAAGGCAATTAAATTGAAAAAGCACAACAGAGAACGAGATGAAATACCTTCATGCACCTTGATTCCAATTGTAAAGCAACAAGAACCTTTTCATTTTTTTCAGACAATATGGTATGTGTAGATTCGGCTTTTTCCCTTCGTTCGGTAAACCATTCTTGCATTCTTTCACGCAAGAAATCAATAAGTTTGGACACACAGTATTCTCGTGCACAAACATTAACGCTGTTCAATGACTCAGCGCAATTTGAGGTCATGACATTAAATCGACTTGGTCCAGCCAAACATTTTGCCCATTTCTGGCCTCCAATTTTTTCAAGCCATGCACGCATCCTAACATCTTCAGCATCTAACAATGATAAATACTGTTCATACTCCTTCACAGTTGAGGCCATATATGCAGCTCGAAACTTCCAACCCAAATCTTTAGAAGAGCCTCTAAATTTTGAAATCATGTTGCGTCGGAGGTGCTCAACACAGAATCCATGGCTGGCATGTGGAAAGACTTTACGGGCAGCGCTAAGAATACCCTTGTGCCTATCAGATATAATATACATATCATCGCGATATTGAATACAAGCAGACACCTTAGATAAGAACCAATGCCATGATGCTTTACTTTCCGAGTCACAAATAGCAAATGCAATAGGAACAATTTGATTGTTTGCATCTTGTGCACAAGCTGTCAACAATGTCCCTTTATAATAAGCTTTCAAGAATGATCCATCAACAATAAGAACAGGCCTACAATGCCGCCACGCATTTATCCAAGGAGACAAGGAAATGAAAAAATATTCAAAAACATCACCATCCCCTATAGTGAGAGTAATCTTAGACTCTGGATTAGTCTTATCAAGCATGTATCCAATAGAAGGCAACATTTGGTAGGAATCAGCATCAGAACCAAATTGCATTTCCATTGCTTGTTTACGGGCTTTCCATGACTTCTTATATGACATGGAAATTCCATATTCCATGCTCATATCAGCCCTGATTTGTTTCGGTTTGTATGGGACTGTAGAAGCGTCCAAAAACTTATGAGCAACTAATTTTGCAATGACAGAAGACGTAGCTTGTCTATGTTTCCCTTGCCTAAAATCAATGGAGCAAACATGAACAGGATCAAACCTGAATAGGAGCAAATGAACAATAACCATTGTTAAGATACAAGACATAACATGGCATTTTATAATTAAAAAACATAAACCAAATGCCATCATAACTGATTGCAGGGAAATAAAATTATATAAATGTGCAGATAAGGTAAATTAAAAGATTATTTGTGTAACTAACAATAATGAAACACAAAAGAAAAGAATAACAAAAGTCAAATGCAAAAAACGAAAAAGAAAAATGAAGTTATAAAAGAAGCAATGTAAAAGATGACTAAAATAAAAGAGATAGAAAACAGTAAAGGATAGAAGAAGTCACCTGCGGATTTGAAACATTTCAACGCCATCTAATTTCACGGCACGAACACTCCATTTACAATTTTTGGCCACACAAATAACATGTAAACAGATTTTCCTTGAGGTTAGAGTTCTGTATTGAAAACCATTAGTAATGGCATACATCTGCAAATGGTATTTCAGCTCTCTCTTATTCAGGTATATGGCATGAAGAACAATGCAAGTTGGATGATGGTGAGTGATGATTTCTACATTATGGAAGTTATACTGAGGTTGAGGTGAGAGTGGGAGAGGGCTATCTGACAAAGAATCACTGTCTTCCAAATCTGAGGTGCTTGCGTTGTTCATGGTTTCTATCATATCAATGTCAGATGTGCAAGAGATAGGGTTTGATGTGCCAGAAACAGTATGTTGAGCATCACCCAAATCAAACTCAGAATCCTTATAAAATTGCATGCCATGAGAAAGGTTTTGAATAGAAGGAGTATTAGCAGAAAAGTGTGACTGTTCAGATGGCTTAGGTAATTGTATAGGCTGAATGGTAAAAGCAGGTCTAGGGAAAAACTCTACACATAAAGGATACTTATGAGAAGCAGGTTGGACACACTTAAGCTGAAGGTAAAATCTGAAAGTCAACTCATCATTAACAATAACAGGGGGTGGACAACTTTCAACCAAGTAGGACAACTTAAAATGATGATCCGGTTTATACTGAAGAATGACCGGAGTGAACATCTGAATGAATGATGAATATGTTGCTAGATAATGAACATGAACAAAACAAGTGTCTGTATGGGTGAATGTAAGGGCAGAATTCCAAGTACCATTCAACTTCAACATAATAAGTATCTCTGAATCCATGTTACCAGTAAAGTATCTACAATGAAAAGGGAAAACAACAATAAGTGTACTAAGCAACAATGTGTCAGAAAAGGACAATTAATGACAGAAAATAGCAAACAAATTCAGAAAATTTGGAAATCAATAAAGATATAATTGTAATTGTAGCAAAAATGAAAGTATTTCACAATTACATAGCAATCTGACAGTTAAAAACAAAAAATTACAAATTAGCAGTTATGATCAAGAGCAAAACAAAAAGAATTGAATAAGCATAACACTTAAAACATGAAGAAAAGCACGAATGATAGTGCAACAATTAAGCGTCACAGAGATCAACATAAGAACAAATATACAGAAATATAGAATGACCTACATGTGTAGTTGAAAACAAAGCAGATAATAAACACGTACAAAAGGTAATGTATAAATAAAGAGAGATTAATGTGCAATCATAACTAAAATATCAAGTTACAAATTCAAAAACAATATGAAGAATTTAGTCCATGAACATAGCGTTGAAAAATTAGATGAAGATGAACGTTTGAAAAAGGACGAATTGATTAACTCGTACCAGCAAAATAGTTGACGAACCTCACGAACAAGAGTAAGATGGATGAATTTCGCCGTTCTTGGATTCAATCCAACACAACAACTACGACTTGCGGAGTGATTATGAAGACCATCATGAACTGCGAAGAATGAAGAAGAGACTTGCGAGCCGGAAGAGAATCGATTTCTAGCAACTAAAAAAACGGAAGGTAGTTGGCGGTGGAATTGCGTGGCAGGCTGGCAGGTTTCTAAAATTTTAATTGAGGGTAATTAAGACAATTGACAACTACACGGAAATAGGAATAGGAGTAAATGACTCCTAAATTGGGAATATTTTATTAGCAGTCCTATTATTGATTTTAGGAAGTTTTGAACTCCTATTTGGGGCTATTTTCCCTATTTTAAAGCATATTCTTATTCTAATATCTTTCACAAAGGTAAAACTAAATATCAGTGCAAACTTTGTCATAAATATACAGCCCACACAACTTTTTAGATATGCAAAAAAGCTTATATCAGATATGGGTGGTGATTTGTTTGTTGTGTACTTCAGTCATTTCAGTTTTTTTTCTTTCTAAGAAGCAATTTGGACAGTTTTGATAGTTATTTTAAGTCATGTAGGTCACTTTAACAAAATAAAATTATGGCTTCCAGATCTCGTTAGTCACAAAAGT